ACCATGTCATAAAGTCCCACTGACACAAGGCAGTCACCATCGTAGCTCATTAATGTTGCCCAACGTTTTGTCCAAACACAGATCTCTTTGTGTTGCTGGCTGTGATTTATCTCACCTTTCCTTCCTGAGTTTGGGGGGTTGGTGACTCTCGAAACTCCTAAGCTGGTGCTCGCTTCGGCAGCACAAACAAATACTGAAATGGGAACGATACAGAGAAGATCGGCATGGCCCCTAAGCAAGGATGACACACAAACGCGTGAAGCATTCCATATTTTGTTTAAAACTTCTGTACCTTTAGTCTTGTACGTAAGTTGATCTGTTTTGGGAAGGGCAAGAGGGGGCACAGAAATGGGAGGACAAAGGGTGAATAAATGTAGCAGTGATGCTCACTAGACACTATGTTGACAATGAACTATACAACTTGAAGGGGAAGAGGCGGTCAGGACCCAACAACCGAGAAAACAAGGGAAGAAGTTACAGTTTCAAAAGACATGAACTCGTTACCTAGCTGGTGTAACTGTAACCCCTCTGTACATCACCTTACAATAACAATACAATGAAAAAATAAAAAACTCCTAAACTGGGTGCTGGGGCTCATGCCTGTAATCCAAGTCAGTCAGGAGGCTTGGGTACAAGGTTTGTGGTTCAAAACCAGCCCAGACAGGAAAGTCTGTGAGACTCTTATCTCCAATGAACCACCAAAAAAACAGAAGTGGCGCTGTGGCTCAGGTGGTAGAGCGCTAGCCTTGAGCTGAAGAGCTGAGGGACAGCGCCCAGGCCCAGAGTTCAAGCCCCACAACTGACAAAAAAAAAAATCTAAGGGAGAACACTCTAGTCCTGAGGTCAACCCCAATGCTGGCCTACACACCCAGAAAGTATATTGTTCAGTTTCTATAGTTTCTCTTGGTTTTGTTTTGTTGTTTTTTTTAAATGATGAATATTATCTTTTTCATGGTAGGGAGTTTTGTCATGGTATTTTCTTTTCTTTTCTTTCTTTTTTTTTCTTTTTGGGTCCGGTTGTGGGGCCTGAACTCTGAGCCTGGGCGCTGTCCCTCAGCTCTTCAGCTCAAGGCTAGCACTCTACCACTTGAGCCACAGCGCCACTTTGGGCTTTTTTCTTTTTGCTTATGTGGTGCTGAGGAATCGAACCCAGGGCCTCAGACATGCAAGGCAAGCGCTCTACCACTGAGCCACCTTCCCAGCCCTTGTCATGGTATTTTCATACACATAAAATAGTGTGATCATATTCACCCCCTCTATTACTTTTCCTTTCCCCCCAGTCGCCCATCCATATCGCTTCCCCTTCTACCTAATAGGCTTTCTTTTACTTTCTTTTGTTACCAGTTTCTAATTTTATTCCATTAGGATCTGATATAAGAAATTATTCTGTTTTTTTCTTTTTTGGGGGAGTGGTGGTGGGATATTTGTTAAGACTTGCATTATGGCCTAAAATGTGATCTATTCTGGGAAAGGTTCCATGGGCTGCTAAGAAAGAATGTGTATTCTGAAGATCTTGGATGGGCTTTCTGTAGATCTCTGTTGAGTCCATTTGGTCTGTGGTACCCTTTAACGCTAAGGTTTATTCATGGATTCATTTCCCCCCCCCCCATCTGAATCTATCAGTAAGAAGAGGGTATTGAAATTACCCACTCTTACTGTACTGTGGCCTGTCTGTCCCCTTTATGTCCAACAGTGTTTGCTTTATGGTATTAGATACACCAGTGTTCAGTGCTTATGTATCTTCTTGGAAATTTGTCCCTTTTCTTGATGTGTCGTGTCTTCCTTGAGCACTTTTGACTCATTTTGGCTTAGTTAAAAGGCAATACGGCGACTCCTACTAACTTTTGGGTTTCATTTGCTTTGAGTATCATCTTGGCCATCTTTTAGTCTGTGTCTTTGTCACAGAGGTGAGTTTCTTCAATAACTGGATCTTGTTTGTTTAATCAGGGCAGGAAGCCTGTATCTTTTCGTGGGAGAGTTAAGACCATTTACATTTGGAGTTATTAATGAAAAGTTTGCACTAACTTCTTCCTTTTTCACCTTAGAGTAATGTTTATTTCCTACTTCTCCTATGTTTATTCTCTCAGTAAGATTTATTCTTTCCCTAGTTCATGACTATGTATATCTTTTTCCCCTCTCTTGTGTGTGCTATTCCCTTCAGTATCGTGTGTGAAAATACTGATTTATTTGGTATGAATTGATTTATTTTATGCTTACCACGGAAAGTATTGTTCCTTGAATTTGAAAGGACAGCTGCTAGCTATAGAAGTATTGATTGGTAGATAATTTTATGTTAGGGCTTGAAATATATCGGTCCATGTTTCTGCTGTTGCTCTGAGAAGTATGCTTTTGTAAGTAAGCTGCCAAAGACCCTTTTGCAGTATTCCATATTCTTTCTTGGTTGTGAATTCTTGGCATTTTAACTATAATATGGATATGGTTATTCTTTTATGGTCATTTCTATTTGGCATTCAAAATTCTTCATATGCACGCATGTGTGTTTCTTTCACTAGATTTGGGAAATTATTACGGTTATTGCTGCTGTTTTTGTTGTTGTTATTGGCACTACTGGAGTTTGAACTCAGGGCCTGGTACTTGATAGGCTGGTACTCTACCACTTGAGCCTGCACCGTTGGCTTTTTGCTGTTTAGGTTCAAGGTGGAGTGTCACAGAATTTTCTGCCCTTATTGTCCTTGAACCATGATCCTCTGGACCTCAGCCTCCTAGTTACTAGGATTATAGACATGAGCAACCGGTGCCCAGTTTAGCTACCTTTGTTTATATCCAAGGAGCACCACACAAACTCCTGCTCCACTTTGTGGTTTCCTTTCATCCTTTATACTATCTGTAACCCCTAGAACTTTTTCTATGTGTCCCCAGATAGGAGTGACTCAGAGCTCGTATATATTGGAAGGGAAGAATCTTGTTTTTGCCAGAAGGCACACAGAAGTTATTTTGTGTTCCATTCCTAATTTAGACACATGAAAACCACTTTGGAAGAGAATTACTACCTTGTGAAGGACATTCACTTGAAGATCTCTTGATTTCTGTCCCGTGACACCTTGCCAAGGCAAAGCTTGCTACTATGATGACCCATGCTTGTGAATTCTTCCTTCTGGGTCCTTTTTTTTGGGGGGGGTGCAGGTTATAACCAGAGTAATATTTGTTCTTGCTTTAAAAATTACCTTTGCCTCTTCCAGAGACTATTGACTGAATTCATGTAACAACCAGATTTGTACATTTGAATCCTAGCATGCTGCTGAATTATTGTTAAAAAAAAATTTGGTGGGCAGAAAGGAAGCACATTGACTTTTTCTGAATTTGTTTTGTCTGAAAAATAAAAGAAGAAAGTGGTGACCCTTTAATGTCTTCACCTGTCCCAGAATCCCCTGACTTTATGAAATTTGACCTGGTACCCACACTACACATACCTTTAAAATGATGACCACTAAGAAAGGATCTCATTTATAGTCCATTAAACTCAATGCCAATATAAGATTCCTTTATGTCTGCAAATTGCTTTTGTGCAGAAATACTCTCTTAATTCCCTATCTGTTTTCCACATAAAGTGCAACTGGAGGACAGCAGCATGGCTGTCCCCTGGGTGCTTGTTAGAAATGCAGAGTATCAGGCCTCTCCCGTCAGCGATCAAACTAAGCAGCTCCACCGCATCAAAATACCGAGATGATGTGCGTGCACGTCAAAGCCAGACATGCTGCTTCAGTTAATTTTGAGTCTTCCATTGACCCGTTGCGGAGGCAAGGATATATTACAGAAGAGGAAACTGAGACCCAGAGTTGTTAAGTAACTAGGTCAAGGTTATTGTGTTAGAATCTCACCCAGAGCTTCCTATTCTAAACCGAATACTGCTGCCTTCGCTGAGCCTGGTTTAGCCTCATACGATACTGTTGGCTGCTCCTAACCCATAGGGTTAAGTGTGGTTGAGTATGGTTGAGTCTAAGCCAGCCAAAGAACGTTGAGTGGAGGTAGAAAAATTTGAAGCTGGTGGCTCACATCTGTCATCCTAGCTGCTCAGGAGGCTGAGGTCTAAAGATCCTGGTTCACAGCCCGCCGAGGCTGGAAAGTCCATGAGACTCTTAACTTCCGATAAACCACTAACAAAACAGAAGTAGAGCTGTGGTTCAAGTGGCAGAATGCTAGCTTTGAGCAAAAGAAGCTCTGGGAGGGGGAAAAGGGGACGGGGGGGGGGAGGGGGGAAATGGGAAGGGTGGGAAGGGGAAACAAAGGAGGAGGCAACAAGCCTTGATAAGAAATGCACTCATTATCTTACCCATGTAATTGTAACCCCTCTGTATGGTATTTTCACAATAAAAAAAAAAAAAAAGCTCAGGGACAGTGCCCAGGCCTTGAGTTTAAGCTCCAGAACCAACACATACACATACCTAAAAAAAATATTGTGAACTACTTTTAGGAAACACACGTGCACACGCGCATACTACCCGTGCAAATTCTTTCATGTTATTTTCTATTTCCAGTTAGCTAGAATGGAGAAGATTCTCGCTAGGAAAACTGGGAATTATGTTCTAAAGACACAGGAGTTGAGTCGAGTACCATTAGCTCCCATCTGTAATCCTAGCTACTCAGGAGACTGAGACCTGGAGGATTGTAGTTTAAAGCCAACCCAAGCAGTAAATTACAAGAGACTTCATTTTCTGATTAACCCACAAAAAGCTGGACTGGAGGCATGGCTCAGTTGGTTGGGTACTAACCGTGAGCACAAAAGCTGCAGAAAACCAGGCAAGAATGTGAGTGCCTGGATCGCTGCGTTAGGACGGCTTGAGTAGCCGACCTTCTATCTCTGAAGGACATATACAGGAAACAGAAAGCACTTTTATTGAATTTGAACCATTAAGAGAGAGTTGGACCTGTGTGTTGGGCACTTAAGTCTCCTCTAAACAATTCACTTGAACAGAGGCTTGGGGCTTGACTTTCTGGTTCTTGGGTCTAATGCATGCATTCATTTTTGTCTTTATAGCAGCTGGCGATCGTTCCTTGCAGCATGCAGAAGTGACTGAGCGGTGGTGAAAAGCAGCCTAGCCGATGGGTCATGAGGATGTAAGTGCGTCTGAAGGCTTCCACACCCTCCACTCCAGGGTAAGGCCCACTCGCTCCCTGCCATTGTTCTCAGAGTTCCTGGCATCATTGCGCTCGAAGGCCTCCTGGCTGAAAGACACCTGAAGCTTTACTGATACAACTCATAGACAGCGGTGCAAATCAGCAGCCTCACAGAAAACTCGGGCCAATGAGATGAGCTGGGAACTATCTCAGCCCAGGAATTTGTGGCGTGTGTGTGTATAGAGTGTGATTTATGTAGGACTGAGGACTTCCTGAGCTGTGCTACAGGGAGGGAAAGGGGGCTGGTCGTCTATTCCTTGATGTCGTGTAATGTTGCTATCTCTGCTGACTCCTTGTTCGCTCACCTACCCTTCACCTCCTTTGTGAGTCACTCTGCTAAACTTTGCCCTCCCTCAGTACATTTTTCCTGAAGGTAATGGCTCAAAAGTGAAAGTTCTTGGGAAAGTGGGCATAGCATTAGCAAAGCCCCCGGTTCTGCCCATTCTGTCTTCTTCATCCAGCGCCCCTGGACAAGTCCATTCCCCACCCCCTCCCCCCCACCCCATGTTTGCAGCCCCTAGTTCGGTGCCTTTGAGGTTTTATTTGTGCCAGGAAACAGCAGGACAAACTCACTGTTCCGGGTGAACTTTTCAGGGCCCAAGTGTAGGAAGAAAGGGTAGAAAGGACATCGATTCCTTCCTGCACTCTCCCAACTTCCCAAGCTTTGACTAAAACCAGACTCCTGGAAGAGGAAATTAATGATCAATACTAATGTAAGCAGAGCTTAGGATGATGAATAGAGGGACAAGGAGGTTAAAAAAAAAAAAAAGCAAGTAATCAGCTGAAAGCTTGGTTGTTGAAACACCTGCATTTAAAACGGGGGAGCCATCTCTTGATAATGGTGCCTCACTCAGGCTGAGCCAGAGGGCACCCAGAAAGGCTACCGTAGGCAGATGCCATGTGTGGCTCAGTAATGAGTACCACTTACTGAACGAAATAGACAATTAAGGGCCGCAGATCTCTGGAGAGTCCGGTAAGTGTACATCATTGCTGCTCCGGAGGGACACACGTGCTTAGAGATAAGAAAAGCCGGGCCAGGCAGCCAAAGAGCTGCGCTATCAGCGGAAGAGCTCAGGTGAGCAGCCGGCTGCAGACCACAGTATACTGGGGTCAAGATTCTGGTCCTTACTAGCTTTTCTCATAGCCGCTTTGCTCAACAGCCTTCCTTTTTCTCAGTGGTTCTGGTAGCCTCCTCTATTTTAAGAATGAGCTAAAAAAAATAAAAGAAGAAAGGATAACATGTCAGGAATAGCACTTGACTGACACATTTCTGAGTAAATATTGTACAAGAATCAAATTATAGAGGGAATCATTCTGACTTTCCCTTAGGAACCAGAGAAAGTTACGTAAGCCGGCTGCCAGTGGCTCACGCCTGTATTCCTAGCTAACTCAGGAGGCTGAGATCTGAAGTCTCCAAAGATGGTTGTACGTTTCCCAGTGGATAAAGTCTCGTGGGTGAGAACCACAGCTGGAAGGGTGCAAAGATTTTATTTCACTCCCAAGTTTCTCTGGAAGTGTATTTTAATTATTTCTCTTCATGTTCCTTCAATTTCCCTGCCTGTAAAATAGCTCAGCATAAAAACAAAACAAAACAAAAAACCAAGATACATAGTACCTGGGGACTCCTTTAGGATGATGCTAATAATTGTCTCCCCCAAATTTCAGGACCCATGCATCTCTCCTGTTATTTCTGACGGTGACCCCTTGGGGTAGCATAGGAATCTGGCGTGGGATGAAGTTAGTTGCGTGGGAAATAATGGGTAGTATTAAATTCTGAGTGTGTTTGTGTCACGTTCTAGCTCAGGGCCACACTCTCTTCCAGATAGAGATTTTCCCTGGCAATGTTGAGAACAAAGAAGAAGGAACAGGGTGGAAAGGAGGTGGATCGGAAGAGCGGTCATGGAAATTGCATCTGACAGGGTGATCTCTTAATGCTGAAATGACTCATGGGTAATTAGACCAAAGGACATAAGGAAATAACCTCCAAAAGAAAAATCTCTTCTCCAATGACTTGCTGACCCCCACTAATTTTCGCAAGTAATATAATAAAAATCCCAGACTATTTGGAGAAAATCTTTTTTTTTTTAATAGAGGTTTTACATTTCTAATTCTTCTGTTTTGAGGGAGCTATGGAAAGGGATCATTCTCAGTATGCCCTTGGAGTGATACATAAAATATGTTTAGGTTTTCTTTTGATGTTCTTCAGTACTTTGTGTTGGAGTAAAGACGCTGTTCACTGACCTACATCAAGAAGTAATCTATTCAAGTGGAGAAGTTCAGGTCAACTCTAGGACAGGACCGGTGCTGGGGTTAGATGTCAGCTGTTATGGTGGTATTCCTGGTGCCTGTTGATTTTGGAGTGGCTCACAAAACAGCTGTTTTCTCTCTTGGTATGGTGAGCTACTGTTATTAGTCTTGCTGTTCTGTGTTTGTGTGTGTGTATGTGTGTGTGTAAGAGAGAGAGAGAGAGAGGGAGAGAGGGAGAGGGAGAGGGAGGGAGGGAGAGCATATGAACAAGTTAAGAAAACTTGCAAGAATGCCTGAGAAAGATTGTAGCTTCCTTGCTAAAGAGGTATTTTCTTCAGAAGACTGGCAGCAAGTGAAACTTTACTGTGGTAGGAGGAGGCTGGTGTTCAATAATGAATTTTTCTATACCTAGTGCTACTCAAAGTGTGATCCCTGCACCAATAATATCAAGAATTGCCTGTGTATTCCTTAGAAATATACAGACCTGCCGGGCACTGGTGGCTCACGCCTGTAATCCTAGCTACTCAGGAGGCTGAGATCTGAGGATCGCGGTTCAAAGCCAGCCCGGGCAGGAGAGACCGTGAGACTCCTATCTCCAATAAAACCACCAGAAAACCGGAAGTGGCACTGTAGCTCAAGTGGTAGAGCGCTCACCTTGAGCTGAAGAGCTAAGGGACAACGCCCAGGCCCAGAGTTCAAGCCCCACGACCGACAAAAAAAAAAAAAAAAGAAATATACAGACCTACTGAGTCACGGTCTGTCAGGGTGAGCCTAGCAGTTTGTGTCTGACAAGACTCCAAAGAACTTCTGATGGACATGGAAACTCCAGAGATATCATTGTATCTAGTGGTTTGTGATATAACAATGTCTTACAAATTGTGTCTGTTATTGCCAAAGACACTGAGAAAGTGTTTTTCCAGTTGTTCAATTTAAGGTTCCGTAGTGGGGCTTGAACTCTGGGCCTGGGTTCTGTCCTTGAGCTCTTCAGTTCAAGGCGAGCGCTCTTCCACTTAAGCCACAGCGCCACTTCTGGCTTTCCAGTGGTTCATTGGAGATGAGTCTCATGGGGACTTTCCTGCCCAGGCTGGCTTTGAACCATGATCCTCAGAGCTCAGCCTCCTGAGTAGCTAGGATTACAGGTGTAAGCCACCAGTGCCCAGCTTCAGTTTAAGGTTTTCTTGTGATAACTTTTTTTTTTTTTATCAACACATGATCTAAGCTTTTTTTCTATATTATCCACTAAGGTAGCTACTGACTACCTCGGACTACTTTTATTTAAATTAATTATAACTCAGTTCTTCCTTTGCCTGAGCCATATTTCAAGTGCCCCCATAGCCAGTCACATGACATTAGTGGCTACCATCTTGTTTTTTTGTTTTTGCCAGTCCTAGGGTTTGAACTCGGCTTAGACACTGTTCCCTGAACTTCTTTTGCTTAAAGCTAGCACTCTACCACTTGAGCCACAGTGCCACTTCCGGCTTTTACTGTGTATTTGGTACTGAGGAATGGAACCCAGGGCTTCATGCATGCTAGGCAAACACTCTGCAACCGAGCCACCTTCCCAGCCCATGCTACCAACTTGTAAAGGGCAGATAGGGAGCCTGCCCATCAACTGAGAATATTCTATTGCAGAGTCTGGCTTTAATCTTCAGAGGTCCCTCTCTCTTAGAAATCCAAGTTTGTAGTCACACCGTGCATGCTCTTTTTGTACCAAGACCCTGATTCTTTGAAAACAAAAATCTTTATTAAAAAAAAATCTCTGTCCTGGGGCGACTTTGAACTTGCTAAACTTTTTAACTTGCTGAAGCAGCTGTCTGCTACCCAAAGGGCCATGGCCATGTCCTCTGACATACTCGAATGCGCTGTCTCTGAAATATTTGCCCTTCCATCCAAGACTGCTGAACTGTCTCTTCCCATTTGTCCTCTCCCTGCCCTGAACCTCTGTGGCCAGGCTTGTTTGTATAGCATGTCTTGTTTGATACTGCCTAGAGCTCCACAAAGAGTCTGGGAGAGGTGACAAGAGAATTTTCACCTCTCTTCTTGCAAGTCCCAACTTTGGCTCCAAAAAAAAAAAAATGTGTTTCATAAGAGGGTATTAGCTGATGAGCTTCCCCTCTGAGGAACGTGTCTTCAAGCAAAATTTTCAGCACAGACATATTACAGCACCGATTGAGTGATTCTGCCCCATAGTATTACAGAAGAATTTTCTGTTGATACTATCTATTAATATTACCAGTATTAATTGCTCAGAAATGATCATTAGCACAAATGAAAAGGGGGGGAATAAAGATGTGCTTTTAAAAGATGTAATTGAAAGATAAACTGAGCCCAAGATTGTTTTAGATGACAGAGAGAATAAGAAGGAAGCTTAATCTGCCTTTGATATTCTTGCTGGAGGTGAAGGGAGGGAGGAGAGGTTGAATCAAGCCTTCCACTTATTCACTTCTGATGGAGAGCATTTCTTTCCGTGTCTTTTAAAAAGGCTTCTTTTTTAAAAAAATTGGTTTTAGCTTTGAGTAAAATTGAGAGGGGAAAGTACCTCTTTTATACCCTTGCTCCGACAGGTATATAGTCTCTCCCGTGATCAAATCTCTCACCCAAATGGCACGTTCATTACCATTGATGAGCTATGTTGACATCACGATCAACCAAAGATCATAGTTTATGTTAGAGCTCACTCTCGGTGTTGGACTAATGTATGACATCTGTCTGCCATTAGAGCATTATCCAGG